AAAAAAATTTTGTTTAAAACAAATTTGGGAATTAATTTTTTTTTTTTTTTTTTTTTTTTAATTGTGCATGTTTCAGGCATAGTACTTTCAAAGAAGTAATTTTGCTTAATTTTTTACCAGATAAATTCCAGTTACTACTTCTCAGGAGAAAAGATAAAAAAGCAAACCTACCTGCCAAACATACAGTGCAAGTTCTGTAGTTAATGCATCTGCAAACTTACCTCGATTGGTACATGAAAAATATATAGTGTGTCTTTGTTGTATTTTGATTTAATGATTAAGATTTATTTTCTTCCTAAGAGTGGTGCATTTGACTATTTGTACTTGTGCAGGGTTTGTGAGCGTGAAGCTGCACTGGAATCAGCCCTAAGAATGTTGCAGCAATTCTACCTGGATCTTGAAAAGTTCCTTGCTTGGCTTACAGAAGCTGAAACAACTGCAAATGTCCTGCAGGATGCTACACGCAAAGAAAAGATCCTAGAGGATGCCAAAACAGTTTGGGAGCTCATGAAACAGTGGCAGGTAAGTCAAGCAATTCAGTTTAGAGACATGTCAGGTATTCGAAGTGGTGGGGTTTTTTTCCAGTGTTCAGCTACTCAACAAAAATGAAACTCTTTTAAAAAAGAGAAATGGTTCTACTACTAACCTTTAAGTGTTGCTTTGGAAATAGCTGTAGGGATTTAATGTGAGTCACATCATGATTCTGTCTGACATCTTTCAGCATATAACACATTTGAAAAAGTGTCTTGAAGTGCGGCTTTAAAATGTACAGAAAGGAAACTTTGCTGAAATGGGCATTTAGATGGTTTTTTATCACACAAAAATGAATTACTGTGCCAAGCTACAGTCTTGAATTGAGCAGTTGACAGACATGAAAGTTTATTAAGCATTTCTGATATTTATAGAAGTTATATAAATTTCATCATTTATTCTCTCTAGCTTAATTGAATTAGTTTTCCTCCATTACTTTCAAATACATGAAAAATGTTAATTTGGTATTTGGCTGATTGTCAACGTGCTCTATTGCAATAATAAAAAGAGAGATAATGATTAAAATTTTCATAGTTAATGGCTGGACAGTTTTCAGACAGTTGTTTTCCTCTGGAAACAAAAAAATCTTAAAAAAGGGAGAGAATGTTGTATTTGGTGTTCCGGAGAATCTTGAGGAGAAAGAAAATAATTAGTTGAGATGGTGCTATTGAAATACATTGTTATACTTTCATTGTGCTTTAGTCACTACAGTTATTGAGAGGAATACACATATGTCTGTATGACGTCTTAGATTTCTTAAATATGAGATTGGTTGGCTGTTTGGAAGGCAGGCCCCTTTCTTCCAATATGCCTTGATAGTGCATGACTTTTATGTTGACAGAAAGTTCAAAACTGGAAATTCCAGGCACTAAAGGCTCTATACATTAATTTATTTATGAAAAACATGCTGTGAAAACTTTTAGTTATAAGTGATTATGTTAAGTTAGTACATTGGATGGAAATACTGCTACCTTCTTTTGGCACTACTGTATTAATATGGGGGTTTAACTATTTGAAATGCTGCTAAGTTCCATTACGTTATACTCTGAAATCTACAGGTGTTGCACTGGACAAGAGTGAAGTCTGAACTACATTTTTTAATAGTGCTCTGTCATTATGCTAATTTGATTTTATAGTAATATACCTTAAGTCCTCATGTGTTTCTGAATTCAGTTGCATGACCCTGGAGACCAGATTTGAATGGAAGATAGTTGTAGACTCAGTGGTTAATTTTCAATATAGGCTATCTCTTTACATTGTCTACATTAGGTTTTTGGTTGTAATGGTGCTAAAACAATTGAATTACCAAGTATTTGCAGAAGTTTATTTTTTATGTGACCATTGAAAAACGGATCATTTGGCAAAATAGAGATACCTAAAAATTTATGCCAAATTGTTCATTTTTAACTGTAATGGAGCTTTGTAGACCTGGTTAATTTCCACATAAGAACCATCCAGAGCTATAGATGAAAGGAAAAATAAATGCATCCAAGTCCTTCCCTCCATAAATAATTAATGAAGTACATAAAATATCTATCGTGAACAATTGCTTTGGACTGTAAGCTTTCTTCTAAAGATTTTTCTGCACTTCAACTGAGATGTAAGATTAAACTTCCAATTCTTCTTTCCAGGTTTTTGGTATTTAAATACCAGATCTTCTAAGGCAGGAAGGGTAAAAACTGTTGTAGAGTCTCTACTGGTTTCACTTCCAAAAAGCAAACCTCGTTCTGTTCACTAATATTGGCTGTACAAGGGGAATTATTCTTACCTCTTAAGAAGAAACATTAGTATGCAGAGGCAAAAAAGTGGTTGTTATATTGTCTTTTGCTCCCAAAAGATTCATGTGTACCTGTCCACCAAGAGCACAATAATTTTAGACTTTAGAGTTGATGATTGCAGGAGGAAATACTTTGATAGTGTGGATTGTTGTGGGCTTTTTTCATTTGTATCTGCATGCTGATCTGTCTCTATGTACATCGACTTGGTTTTCTTCCTGGGCCTATCACTGTTTGTGTCAGCCTCTTCATACCATTTTTAAACCTCCAAAAGAAATCTCATAATATAACAAGCACAAGTGGATTTTCAAATGTTCTTCTCCTGAAGGGAGTCTGATGGATATCTTTCTAAAAGCTGGTATAACTGTCTTTTTTTTCCTTCCTCAAGTAGAAGAGAAGTTCCTTATTTCTACCACAATAAGCAAAGTTCTGTTTAAGTAAACAGAATGAGGCTTTTTTCAGAAATTTTAACTGGGAAAGACCATTTCTTTTCTGTAATTTTTTAAGAACTATAGTAAAGTGGCCATTCAAGATTTGCATCTTCTTCCATTTCATTAAATTATCACTGATTTGAGACATAGTCATTAACTACAATTAATTTAAAAGGATGTATATTTTTACTAGTGTGTATTCTTAGTAATTTAGAGCATAGTTTTTAGGCAGTTCTCTTATTAGAATAGGGATTTCAGTAACGGCAATTGTTTTAAGTTCAGGAAAGTTAACTGTAAATTGTTTGAACCAAGCAGTGAATTTGTTTACTCAGTAATACAATGTGTTTTTCTGGAGACTTTGCATTATTCTCAAATGATAAACGGTGCTTTTGTAGCAATTCACCATTACTGGAGGGACATCTGTGCAGATGAAAACACAAACTGACATAAACTTTTTTTCTCCACTACTACCTGATAGATTTTTCTGATGATCTGTATGTGGGTTTTGTACAAAGTGAATGGACAATGCCAGTAAAAGTCAGTTGGAAAGAAAGTATGGGAATAAATTAGTGAAGGCTATGGCTACAGATACACTAGCAAGTTAAATATGTCCTTGATCCTTCTGTGGTACTGAGGCCAGCAATAAGCAAAAAGCTACATCCATGTTTATGAACTGTTCTACAGTTCACGAAGTCAAATATGCTATGGTTCTTCATATCTAAAGCTTTTAATTAGAAAATAACTAGAATGACATAAGGAAATTATTCAAAAGCAAAAAAAAAAGGTAAATTTATATAATACTCTGAAAATGCTTAGCTGTAAAATTAATTAATTTATTAAGACGGGTAATATTTGCAATAGTCATAACACAATGCTCCATATATATAGTCTTCATTGTAAAAGCTTTCTGTCCAAATAGGTACAGTTTCCTGCTAGTGGTGCAAATATTGCCCATCTATGTTGCTACAAGACTGGATAATGGAGCAAATATTGAGGACTTTTACTTCTTAAACCACCATTTTGTCAATAAAACTGTTTTATTGATGTCAGCTGGATGGTCAAGAGAGAGAGTATGGCTTTTCATGTGTTTCTCAGTTACTGCTGCATTGATTCTTCCGGTCTTCATACCCTAATTGTAAGAGTTCTCTCTCACAATTCACTTTGATGCATAAGGATGAAAAGTAAGAAAATGACAAAAGTGTGGCCGTTTGTGCATAGCTTATGCATATAAAAGATTCAAACAAAAAGGAGCTTTAATAAGCCACTGAAATCTCAGAAATATGCATTTATGTACTTTGTGGAAAGGGGTTATTGCTCACGAATCCTATCATCAGCCCCATAAACCATAAACAGCGATAAGGCTTTTTTTACTCTGTACTGTGGGCCAGAAATGCACTTATCCTATAAAACACATCAGGCAATGACTTGTATCCCAAGAAACTTGCTATGTAAATCATACATGTATAAAATCAGACACATTCAAATACAGTCTATGTCCTTAATATATTTTTTTAGCATCCAGTATATGTAGTATAACCACAAGCCGTTCCAGCACCGAAAAGATCCTAAATGCTCTCAGCCAGGATTATAGTTTTCTAATTGCCTTTTTTTTTTTTCCACAAGAAGTCATATTTTTTCCTCTCATTGGCCAGACTGAATCCAGATCCTAGGAGGTAAAACAAAATGTTAGTTTCTGATTAAAGATTACTGTCTCATGATCTTTTGAAAGAAACTTTGACTACCTAGGTTTATAGAGTTCATAGAAGTTATGGTTAAATATGACATACGGACTTAGATCTTCAGTCTCTGTCTTGTTCTTTATGCAGTTGCATGGACGTGGATAATGTGAAAATAGTCATTAGGAGTCCTGAAATGTTAAGATTTTGTTTTAATCTGCTATTTTTATGCAATAGGTATAAAGCAGTGTTTTGATAAAGAATTCTCTACACAAATAATGAAAAACCAAAATTTCTGAGTTCAGTAGTAGCTTTATCTCCTTGTCACCAAAGATGTTTATCTCGCCTTTAGTGATCCAACAGTTTTCTGCTTTACGCTCTCAAGCTTTAATTTATTTTTTTAAACAACTAGGAAAATAAGGTCTTGCTGTGCAGAAAGTGTTTTATGTAGCAGAAATTGCTTGCCTAGGAAAAATCTCACATTTTTAGGTGTTTCTTTTGCTTTTCATATTCAGAAACGATTAGCTCGAATGTCATTAATAAAGATTAATCTTCCCCTAGTACTTTGCAGTTCATTCAGTAGCAGAAGGGCGAGACTTACATAACTGTACATTCTAATTACCTGATGATGTAATTATATTAAACTGTTGCATTATAAACATGCTGTTTGTTTATATAAGCATGTATTTGCATGCATGATTTGTCTGAACTCACAGCAACGTAGTAGTTGAGGTGATTCACACAGTTAGAATACTTTCTGGAGAATTTTCAAGGATACAAACCAGTTACTCCAAGGAGTTGTGTAATTATGTGCTGCTTTTTATTGTCTGGTTGAAATACATCATGTGTCCCCATGAGGCCTGGTTTGATAAGTAACTATATTGGGGAGATGAAAATAATTAATTTTACTTTCTGCTTTTGTACTTCTGGTGATATGAACTCTCAGCTGTGTTAATTACTCTTCTGGTTTGTCTTTTTAACAATAATTGTATGTGACATTTTGTACAACTTATATAATATTAGATATAATTTTGAAGCTAGTGTGGATTTATCCTGTTATTTTATAAATGCAATCATTTAATATTAAGCCTGTAGATGCATTTAATCAT